CATTTTCAAGAGATAAAATATTCAATAAAAATGAATAAAATTTACATCAAAGTTTTAGGTTTGAATGTGGCTTAATAGTGTCATGAAGATTTGGCATCTATTTTTAATCTGCGTGGATGATTACCTGGGAAATTTTGAGGATAATTTAACAAAAGTTGGACTAGACGTGCCATTAGTTATAACGGGTATAAATGTCATCACAGAGAACAGAACAGGAAGTCGTTATTTAAGTATTACTAGGTCTATCAGCGTCTATTGAATGCTTCATTTAGTACCTACTAAAGAAGAGAGGTGTCGACTTGTCTAATGTTACAGTTAAATATTCGTTTTTAGTAAAGTTTCTTTCGGTGCTGATATTAGGGTAAGGGTAAGATTTATGAACACGAGGCCACTCTGTATTGCGTCGATGTGTTTTCTTGCAGTATTCTTATTATGGTTTGGTCCACGATTAGATTCATTGCTAGTTTTAAGAAAAAGGGTTAAGTTAGGGTCACCCTTGAAGCATTATGTCAGTTGTTCAGTTTCAAAATATTTTTAACAAAAAATATCTCCCACATTAGTCAAGTAGTAAAGTTCCCTTTCGAACCTGACGGTATACAGGGCAAGTGAAGTAGAGTTCACTTGTTTCTGTGACCCCGGCATATGAAGAGATTCTAAAGTGTGGTCAGCACTATGCCCAGCCGCCTTTACTTTCCACAATGTGAGTTAGGTACCCATCAGCGTTGAGTGGATTCAGGGACATTCTGCTGACTTGAACCCGGATTCTATCTCGGGACTTAAGGGTTAGCAGTTCAGCTCTCTAACGCTAGACCACTATGTCCCATACTAACAAGTACCATATCCATTTTTCAACGTAACTCGGATATATTTTTAAAATATTTTTTTTTTAGAAAATCAAGTTATTGAACGATGGAAACTCTACCAACAACAGTTGAGCCTTAAAGTTCGGTTAAACGTGTAGTACCACAAAACAAACACATAAAAAACTCTTGACACGATTCTCAACGAAAATGTTATGCTCCACTCACCCCCCTCCCCCCCCCCCCCCCCCCACACCAAATAGTCAAAGTAAACCTGCAGCGACTACGCATGCGCGGAGTGTTTAGCTACGTCATTCTCCAGTCTCCGAGCCCTCGACGTTCCTACGGCCGTAGAGAAGTTGAGATTTACTTTCACACTTGAAGCCCTCAAGCAAACCATGTCGAGTATTTGGGGGGCTCTACCGGCAAACAAAGCCCATCTTGCCTGAAACCACCGGCCCGTGACGACCCCACCATCCAATCCCCCTGCCACAAAAGATACAGCCATCATACAGTAAACACTCGTCTGCCGAGTAATTATCCCGCCGTAGTTGGGGAAGTTTCCAGAACACAAATGTCTCAGTCACTCAACACAGCATTTTTTTTTTCAAAAATTGGTCGTAATTATCCCACAGAATAGTGCACTCTTTCACATCATTATTCGTCTGAATGGTTGGAAGAAGAAAAAAAAAAGACTGAATTTTGAGTGGCAGGGGGGAGAACTTATACACAAGGGAGCAAACTTTAACTGAATAAAACAATCTTTGTCAAGATGAATTAATAATAATTTGAGAGGATTAGTCTAGTGCTTCGAAATGAGGACATTTATAAAATTACCGAAGTAATTGCTTCAAGTTGTAATTTGCTCAATACTGGAACACTTAAATATAGCCAGCCGTGTTGTATAAATACGCCGAAACGGTGTTTAAACTATTAAATAACACTAGAAATAAATAGGACGATGTTAAAAGGGAATATTGATTAAAACAGGAACTTTACATTGTACAAATCCTCCGGAATGAAATAAATATTTCTAAACAAGAGAATAGCATAAATATCATTTTACATTAACCTATTTACAATACTAAACATGATGTATTTATGTATATATATATATATATATATATATATATATATATATATATATATATATATATATATATTCCATCTTGCTATAGGACTATGATTTATAACAGGACGGGCTAAAGATTAGCTGTTAGAGATGAATGACTCAAGGTATTGTACTTAGGTTAATGAAATAAGACCGCGCAGCCTAGAGCGATATGACGACGCCAAGTTTCCTGACTTCTCAAAGATCTGCTCTTTCATCTCTAATCCCACAGATACAATGGCTGTCTCCTTCAACGAAATTCTCCAACGTGACGGGACCTATCGTGAATGGTACGTCTGCACTAAGGTCTTATCACATTAGGTGAAGCCCGCCTGTTTTCGTTATGCAACTTACGACTCTGATAAGTTATTTCACGTGAAAACGGTAGCTAGTATTCTGTATTTGAACGAAACATTGTGCTTAAAGTAGCCGTTTTGAGAATAAAGTAAAAGTACTATCCCAGTCCTAGCGGGAATCTAATGGAGTGTGTCTGTCTGTCCGTGTGGAATTTGATGACTTTATGTCAAAGCCCCTATGTTCAGAGCCCCGCGTTGGTCCAACCTCATATGGTCAAACCTCATATGGTCAAACCTCATATGGACAAACCTCATATGGTCAAACCTCATATGGTCAAACCTCATATGGTCAAACCTCATATGGTCAAACCTCATATGGTCAAACCTCATATGGTCAAACCTCATATGGTCAAACCTCATATGGTCAAAGCACGTGTAGTCAAAGGTCCGTGTACTAAATTAAAGATCGCTGTAAAACTTTCAAAATGGTATGAAACTATTTGAGGGAATAATTGGTGTAAAACTGAATTATGAAAAGAATTAGTGTGGCTATATTTCGGGAAGAATTAGCGTGAAACTATAGAACAGGAAGAAGTTGTTTTATAGTTGTATGACAGGAAGAATGGGTGTAAAGCTATGTTAGTGAAAGAACCTGAATGAAATGCGAGTGAGGAGAACCGTTGTGTCATTTAAGTAAACAACAGTTTCCCAAATTAAATTACCAGCTATTTCTCCGCCCACTAACTCCCCCACCGCCCTCGACCCCCATCAAACGGAAGCGGACAACCACCTCAACCTCATCTTTAGGCACCGCAAGCAAACGCTGACAGCAATTTGAGGTGTGAGGACTGACCAGGAAATCAAAGCCCCCCCCCCCCCTCCTCTCGTGGTCTTCACGCTGACCATCAATGTTTACACGACACCAATAGAGCAGCCGGGGCCTCGGGAATGTCCGGTGTTCTTCGCGCTTTCACATCGTTAGAGTGAGTCTAGTCTACTACACACAGTCTTAAGCTTAAGTTTTGGCTTCGACAATGTAGTCTACTACCCGTTGTCTTAAGCTAACATTTTGGATTCAACATTCACACACATAGGAGTTTAACTCTGAATACTGTTACTCGGTTCAAAAAAGTAATTTTGAATACCGCCACTTTGCTAAAAAAGTGTGATAATTTAAACATTGCCAAAGTGATTAAATTTTTAGTTTTAAAAAGTCACCTAGGTGTCACATTTTTTTAAACACATCTAGAGCTAAATGTTTATTTTATTTTTTAACTTTTATCAATCAAAGGTACAATTTCTGCTTTGAACAATCACACAGTACAAACGTTTTAGTTTTGAATGGCTTCGGGACTCAAATTTAATGTCTTAAAAATTGTTCAAGTGATACTAACGCTACGCTAAGGTACTCAATTGTATTATATTCAACTTGCTAAACATGATGATTCACAATTTCAAATGTAGATTCTTTTATAACAAAGAAGGTCAAAATAACAATGAGGTGTGAGAATAGCACGACAGACACTGCAAAGTTCGCCGGGGAAATAAAGAATTGTTGTTATAATAGCAACGTGAAAACGGTAAATCTAACGCAGAACAAAAGCCGATGACGCGTTTATACTTGAAGGCTTCTGCCTGATACCATCAGAGAGGTCTGGAGAATTTATGGGGGACAGGAAGGGCGGCGTCTTCGGTACAAGAAGCCATTAACAGGGGCGCGGTTAATGACAGGGCCGGGTTGAATGTCAGCGGATCATAATATTGGTAAATAATGGCGTCTAACAACCGCTTTTGTAACGGATTCGCGGTGGAGTTTAAATGTGAAAATTATTCCAGGCAATTTTATAAATTGTGATTTTGAAGATAAGAAATGTAATTAGACACGAAGCGAGGTTAATTTGATTTTTTTAAGGTCTAAATTAAGCTTCACGTTGATTGGTGAAAAGGGGATTTTTAAGTAAATGAAGGCGTCGTTATTTAATTGATTGGTACGCGACACGAGTAAAGGAAACAGGCTCTCATTTCTTTGACGAGGATGACAAGATTTCCTTATTAGGAAATTTCAGACGTGTACAGTCTGACTTGACGTATGGTACAGTAAAGGGTAATTAACATAATTGACGTACGTCATTGATAGACATGTCGGGTCTGGTTGGATGGGTGCACAAAGTAATTAACAGAATTGACATATGTCATTGACATAATTGTCAAGTCTGCTAACGTGTGATGCAACACAGGGTATAGTCTGTTACAGCTTCTTATATTGATTTCATGATTGATTGATAAATGTAGCATGGGCAACACGTGTCATTAACACAACTGACACGTGTCGTTGACATTTGACAATGACACGTTTAAAATGTCCATGACAGGACTATTTCATGTCACCGACAATTGGTATGGACAGATACGAAAACACCACAACACCAAGTGACACCACAACACCACATGACACCACAACACCATATGACACCACAACACCAAGGGACACCGCAACACCACAACACCACATGACACCACAACACCAAGTAACACCACAACACCACATGGCAACACAACACCACGTGACACCAATACATCACAACGCCACATGATATGGACAATAAAACAACACTTAACACAACAGCATCTTGTAACACCACAACACAATGGGACACCACAACACCACAAGCCCACACCACATGAGGCGACACCACAACACTCCGTGACTCAACAACAACGCATGACACCAAAACACCACAAGACACCACCACACCAGGCAACACCACAACACCACAAGCCACCACATCTTACCCAGCCCGAAGAGATCCTGCAGCACACCGCTCCAGTTCGTATGTTGCTTGGCACGTTTGGCGTCCTGTTCGTACCTGGGCTGTAGGGCCAGGTACTTCTGCTGGGCCCCGGTGCGGTGCACCCCGACCCCCTGCTGCTGCCCCCCGGGGCGGTGCATCTCCCCCTCATCCAACACTTCGTCTTTCTTCCTAAACCGGAACTTCTCCATTGAATCACAGAAACGTTGCGACCATTCAAAAGTTCAACTCGCCTTCAGAATAAACACACGTCTTTTGTCTATGGTCAAAGACACTCCTCATTCTATAGAATCAATGTTCACTGGTATTTATAATCCACTGATATTTTCACTGGTATTTATAATCCACTGCTATAAATAGTTTAATACACCTCTGAATGGATACTGCAATAATTAATTATATTTTTAAAATAGACGCCTTAGAATTTTGAATCTCCGAATTTCAACATTTTGCGGTTAATCTGTGTTTGGTTTCTAAAAATAGGCAGTGTGTCAGCTAATCAGATTAAGTTATTGAGGCGTTCGTTTAACTAAGGTGACAGTTCAACTCTAATTTTTAAAATGTATTTTATGTTTTGGATTAGTTTAAAAATGTTTGTATTTTCTTTTTTTTAAAGCTTTCCTACTTAAACTATAACATGATTGGAAAAGTAAAAAAATAAATAATGCTAAGTTTAAAAGCAAAGCCGTTTTATTTAATCTGTGAAAAAAAATGTGTGAACGGGCAGGCACAAGCCCCCCCCCCCCCCCCCACCGGATTACACGACACAACACCAAACCGAGGAGGGGGAGGGATTAAAGAACTCTAATCCCTAACACAGTCGCGTCCGTTGGTTTTCACATGTCGTCGAGCCCAACTGCTTTCAATATTTGGCGGCCCACAGCGGGCCCAGAGGTCCACCGACTGGGCCCACAGACTTGCTGGGCTGACGGTGAAGCCAGGAATTATGGGTAACGTTTTTTCTAGATCCGTCTAACACGTTTGAGATTGATACTTGGTGCTGAGGTAATTCTCTCTTACATTCAGTTGATCCATAATTACTGTACCCCACATGGATAACCCTAACATTATAACTAACAAAACGGATAAACCTAACGTTATAATCAAAATGAAAAAAACGATATTCAATAAATATATAGTCTGGTCTTCCATAACAATTTTTTTTAAATAATGAAAGACACCAAAGAAAATAATATTCCGATATAAGAACAATAGTTTTATGTGACAGGGAACACGGTAGTATCATGATAAAAGTAACTGAGTATCATGATATTATGTAACAGAAGTATTGTGATACAATGAACACAGGAGTATCGGGATCACAGTAGTATCATGATACAAGTAACAAAGTAGCCTTAGGATGAAATAAAATACTGTTGTATTGGGATACAAGGACCACAGTATTATCAAGATACAAGAAACGCAGTCGCCTAAGAATGAAAGAAACACAGTATAATGATACAAGGACCAAGGTAGTATACTGATACAAGAAAACTTATGAAGAACTATGTTGTGATACCAACTAAACCTGTATCATTACAATGAAGAAAACACCACACCATAATGATAAACCCCACAGTTCGATCAGTATATATAAAACCACAGTTCGATCAGTATATATATATATAAAACACACAGTTCCATCAGTATATATAAACCCCACAGTTCGATGAGTATATATAAAACCCACAGTTCCATCAGTATATATAAAACCACAGTTCGATCAGTATATATAAAACCACAGTTCGATCAGTATATATAAAACCCACAGTTCCATCAGTATATATAAACCCCACAGTTCGATGAGTATATATAAAACCACAGTTCGATCAGTATATATATAAAACCCACAGTTCCATCAGTATATATATAAAACCCACAGTTCCATCAGTATATATAAAACCACAGTTCGATGAGTATATATAAAACCACAGTTCGATCAGTATATATAAAACCACAGTTCGATCAGTATATATAAAACCACAGTTCGATCAGTATATATAAAACCACAGTTCGATCAGTATATATAAAACCACAGTTCGATCAGTATATATAAAACCACAGTTCGATCAGTATATATAAAACCACAGTTCGATCAGTATATATATAAAACCCACAGTTCCATCAGTATATATAAAACCACAGTTCGATCCGTATATATAAAACCACAGTTCGATCTGTTTATATAAAACCCACAGCTCCATCAGTTTATATAAAACCCACAGTTCGATATCTATACATCCTATAGTTCGATCCCATGAATGTAGTGAAGGGGCGTCTATCTGATTGCCTTATCTGGTCACTGGTCAAGGTGAAGGACGGTCTCTAGGCTAGAGGTTTGGCGAGGAAATAAAAGGGCATAAACTGGTGGGGCGCCTCAAGGTTTTGGCCAAACTATCAAGGCCACTGTGTCCAACTAAAGAAATCATTTTGGCAGGCTGTGGTTTAAAAATCTGGCAGTTCACTTTTACATGAGCTCATCTGGACTGTAATTTTGTTGTATTCCCTATACTGAATAATATGTTTTTAAATTGTATTTACGTTTGTTGTTGTTGTGTGAAGTGTAATATTTACACCACAACCAACGACCTAAAGAACTCACTGTCTCATTCTACAATACCGAGCTCAGTAAACAGGAACTCATATAATTGGGGCTAATTCTAAATATTTCAAGAAAGTGGTGGAAGGGGGACGACACACTAGAATCATTTAAAGGATATTTAACACTCTAAATAAAAATTGTAAACTAAGTTACAAAACTTTAATCAAGAACGTGTTAAAAAATATACACGTGAGGTCTTAGTTGCATTTCTTAAAAACAAAATTTTCATATTCGACATTCAGGACTCGAATAACCAAGTTGCATTCCAGGGAGGGGGTGGGGGGGGGGGGGGGGCAATGCGTACAGATAACTTTTTTATCATAATCAGTGTTAATCACCATTAAAATGACGTCTCAGTCTTAGGTCTTCGGTCGGAGAAAAGCCGCAAGCAAAATGCTTTCAACAGAAAACTAGAAAATTTGAAACGTTCTTAACACACACTAACAAAAAACAACTCCTCATGTTTCGACACAATGTCTTCGTCAGCGTTTCAACGATCATTTATTACACCTCTCTCATAACGGGTTTTATAGCCTACTACAATTTAAAACTGACAACTGTCATAAATTTCTGGATCGCCAAACTACCCAGCCTCAAACAAGTACGGCAGTAGTTGATATTTTTTTGCCAAATAAATTTAACCTGAAGGAAAACAAAACCTCGAATATTACTAAGGGGATCCTGTATTTAAGTACCATCAGTGTAAAGCGAAGTATCATCGTTTACAATTTACACACATTTACAGGCACTTGCTGGTCCGCGGACGTCTTATCAGCCAGCCTAGCCGGCTTGGTTTTATCGTGGCCATCAAATATTTAGACATGAACACGTTCGTATCTCGACACCGCCTGCCCATAGTATGCTTCGCTCGCTGGATCGGCCCGGTGTAAGGACGTACGGTGTAATATGAAACTGTCACCCGGTGTAAAAATAAAATGGACTGGGTCTAGTCGGGGTGGGAATGAGCCAAGCGGAACTTGATCTGAAGACGTGCACTTTACGGCATCATTTGCGGAGTTTTGTATTTGTTTAATGGCGGTGTGAAGGCGACTTTTGATATGGGGGACCGGGACTTTTGATATGGGAACATGACTTTTGGTGTGGGGAACATAACTTTAGGCGTGGGGACCCGGACTTTTGATATGGGGACCCGGGATTTTGATATGGGGAACATGATGTCTGCGTGTAATAATGAGCGGTAATCTCAGCGCTGGTGAGGTAATAAGTGTGACCTCATGAGGTCATAACCTCATGAAGTGGTCACCACCACAGGGTCAGTGTTTGAATACAGATCGCGTCCAAATATTAAGTCCTTAAAGACAGTTTGCTCCTCAGGATAGTATAGACCTTAAATTAAGACAGTATAGTCCTCAAGATAGTATAGTCCTTAAGATAGTATAGTCCTTAAGAGAGTATAGTCCTTAAGATAGTATAGTCCTTAAGATAGTATAGACCTTAAGAGAGTATAGACCTTAAGAGAGTATAATCCTTAAGATAGTATAGTCCTTAAGATAATATAGTCCTAAGTCTAAGATAGTATGGTCCTTAAGATAGTATAGTCCTACATTATTTGAGGAATGTTGAGCTATGTGATCAATTTTACTGACAGCATAACAAAGGTGAGGGTCGCAGAATGGGAAATAACTGGGGATAATACTAATATATGAGGGACATCTGCCTGTAAGGTCACCAAAATCAACATCACCTACAAACTTAAAGATATGAGTTTCCTTTTTTCTGCTTAAAAAGATTTTTTTTTTATATGAAGCTCATGGGTTTCATTGACACCAGAGTCAGTCGAATAATACTCTCCTTTCCTCCCCCACCCCCATCACGGGGGTGCGAGAAAAAACAAAACACACCTCCTTGTACACACGTATTCATCCAAATGAGGCAATGGGACGGTTGAACGGCCCTGAAATCCGAATCGCGGCAAGGCCTACAATAGCTCCAGTGTTTCATATGGCACGTAAGGCAAACACGCTGGGAAATCATTCGGCTGGGCTTCCGTACAACACACATAAAATGATTCGCTGGGCTTCCGTACAACACATAGCAAATGATTCGCTGGTCTTTCATACAGCACACGTCAAATGATTCGTCTGGTCTTCCATACAACACACAGAAAATGATTCGTCTGGTCTTCCATAGAACACGCAGCAAATGATTCGTCTGGTCTTCCATACAACACACAGCAAATGATTCGCTGGCCTTCCATACAATACACAGCAAATGAGTCGTCTGGTCTTCCATACAACACACATCAAATGATTCGTCTGGTCTTCCATACATCACACAGAAAATGATTCGTCTGGCCTTCCATACAACACAAGGAAAATTATTTATCTGCTCTTCTATAGGCCTAGTACGGGTTCAGAAAATGATTATTATGGTCTTTCATACAACACACACAAATAATTCTTTACGAAACAAAATAACCAAACACGCCACGACAAACTGAACGATCGTCGAAAAACAATGCTAAAACCTTTCCCCTGCAACAAATAGAAACAACGCTGCTACCAGCCTTTCGCTGAATAATGCACATAAAAAAAAAGAAATGATCCGACTAGCGCTTCATAGAAAACAAAGCAAACAATGACACGACTGGCGTTCCATAGAACACGCGTCAACAAAATGGACGAACGCAACAAATCGAAAATCACCGCAGCTCTCCAACATTTTCTCACCTCTTCCACAAGAGATTCGAAGCATGGGTTTTTGTCTTTTTTTTTAAACGTGTCCCTTACGAAAAGCAGATTTTTGGCCGTTGGCTTTTTG